ATAATTTTAGAAATGATTAGATACAATTGTTACAATTTTTGTGTTGGTTTTGTGTATTTATCTTGAGATTAGGAGTTGGTGTCTGAGTGTATCTAGATCATGTTAGTTCAAGTGGTTAGAGCAGTAGCATATTGAAGTACTTACACTCCCCGTCAAAAAATTTTAATATCCTAAGAATATTGGTTTAATACAATATTTTAAATTACTTTTGTTTGAAAAGAATCTAATAAGAAAATATGCTCAGGTAAGTTGGGACTTTTGCTACCAACTCAAGTAGACTACTATGCTAAGGTGTAAGCTCGTAATATTATCCCACCACAGGTAAGCAATTAGAAAGACCTTTAAGTTGGTAACATTGCTAGCACCACAGGAAGGCACCTATGCTAAGATGTAAGTATATTTGTATATAAGTATAGAAAGGCAAATATATAACATAATTTACAAAGTACAACAATATATAGAAAATAATCCACATATTCTATCCTAAAATATATATATGTATATATTTTAGTAATCATAATTGACTCAATAATTATTTACATTAACCATACTTTTGATCTAAGGTCTTGGTTGAGGTGAAAGAGCTATTCTTAAAAATAACTTTTCTTCTCGACCAAGACCTTAGATTTAAAAAAATATAATTAATTTAAATAACTAATACAGTCAATTATGAGCCTAAATACATAAATGGCTTAATATAATAATTACCGAAGTACTTACTTCCCTAAAAGCTTCCTGTGGCAACTTTATAAGTCGCCGAAAATCGAATCTTGATTACACGATACTTGAAAATATGGCAAAAAGAGGAAAAATTCGAAAGGTTGTAGTTGAATTTATAAATATATTCCTTGAACTTATACTTCTTTTTTAATTTCTAATATTTCTCTTTGTAGTTTACCGTTTATGTCCGGGTTTTATTCAAAGGATATAATTTTATAAAATGATTAGATACAATTGTTACAATTTTTGTGTTGGTTTTGTGTATTTATCTTGAGATTAGGAGTTGGTGTCTGAGTGTATCTAAATCATGTTAGTTCAAGTGGTTAGAGCAGCAGCATATTGAGCCGAAGGTCGTGAGTTCTAATCCCGCTCTTGACACTAGCTTTTTCAATCCTTTTCAAAAAGGATTGAACACCGCACTCACTCCATCATTCATCATTTCTACTAGCTTTTTCATCTCAACCAAAACCTTAGATAAAACGTATAATTAATTTAAATAAGAAGTAACGTTGAAGTTGTAATTATCTAAATTCACTAATTTCGTGGTCCGCTTGACCAATTAAATCATTACAATTAATTAAGGTTTTTAGTTGAGATGAAAAAAAGGAGAAAAGTGGCAAAAAGGAGGGAAAACTCAAAAGGTGGGGTTGAGATGGGAAGTTGATGTCCGAGTGGATCGAGGTCACGATAGCTCAAGTGGTAGAGCAGCGGCGTATCAAGCCGAAGATCGTGGGTTCGAATCCCGCTCGTGCCATTAACTTTTTCATCTCAATTAAAAACCTTAATTAATTGTAAAGTTGTAATTATCATGTTAATATCGTTGAAATCCAAAATTTTATCGTACTACAAGGTCAGCCTTGTATGTAGTACTTTTAGGGACGGCAAACCTACGAATTGAATTGGAATTGAAAAATGGTGTCAGGGAATGTTTTTTTGTTTACAGATACTTGTGTTCAGCTAGTAATTAGTAAAAGTAAGCAATAATCTAAAAATCCTCGATAATAATTTTTATTGACAGTATCACTTTACTATGATGATTGCTTTGTTTCATTTTCACTTTGACTTGGATAATTAATTGAATAACGTTAATGGATAAAGTGACAGTTTTCTTTTTAAAATCGGATAAAACCTTTTTATTTTGTTGAAATACTTTTCAATCTTAAATTTTTCGTTTTCGAGTGGTTGAGGTAAACAGTATAACTGATAACTAAGCTTAAATGTTGTAATTATCTCACCAGGAACGCGCTATTTGTGGCGATAAGATTAGTTGCAAGATGAGCAAGACAATGAATAGACTCCTTTGGATGATTTTATTGTGTGTACTATTTTTTTCTATTAGTTTTTACATCACTAATCGTGAATACGTGGAACATAAATACAGTGATGGTTCACCCGACCAATATAACTCTCCGAGTGATTTTGAGGGCTTTGACAACGAAACGGGAACAAAGAATGGATGTTATATCGTGCCGAATTATGTTCATTTTATCCGTTTCGACCAAGCGACATTCTCTTTCGTTGACTTGGTGTGTGTTTTAGCCGCATTGAAGAACCAACGGCCTGAGAAGATATTTTTCCACACGAACGTGCCAGCGTTTCGTGGAAAATACTGGGAATATCTCCTGGGTCAGAAACGGTTCAAAGACGTTCTCCAACTTCAGTTTATGGAAGTGCCCAAACATGTATTTGGACAGCGTTTCGCCGACGGCTGGGTCAAATTCCACGCAGGAGATATAGCCCGCTTAAAAGTTTTGATGAAATACGGAGGTATATTTTTAGACAACGATAGTTTCATAGTTAAAAGTTTAAACGAGTTCAGAAAATTCGAAATGACTCTGGGATGGGCGAAGAACGGAAACTTATCAAATCAGGTGATACTAGCTAATAAAAACGCCAGATTCCTTCGAGAATGGTTAAATTCTTACAAAGGAGCATACAACAAGAAATCGTGGTTTTACAACGCTGGGATCAGGCCTACGCAAGAGATACTCATGAAAAGACCAGAGTTGATACACAGGGAAAAAAAATATTTAGCTGAATTCTATGGAATAGTTGAAAACCTGTATCTCCTCAGAAATGAGAAATGGAAAAATCATTACGCGATTCATCTACTCATAAGACACCAATATATGCTAAAGAGAAATATTTCAGCCAAAGCCACTTATCCGGTAGTATTTGATGAAAATAATATCAAAAACTATCCAATAAGCTTTCGAGACATGGTCGCTTCAGTATATCCATTATAAATAATCGCAGAAAATTTATCAAAACAAAGGATTATAGCTGTCCTCAAATTATGATCGATCGTATAAAGGAGTGTTCTTGTGAAAAACGTAAGAGAAATTTATAAAACTGTTTTTAAACTCAATCCAGAGTAACAATGCGGAAATTGCATGCTGCTTTAGTGTTATTGGTTCTACTTTTATCGGGCTTGTACATATCTTTCGTCGCGTTTAACGATATTAGCCGAACCTATCGAAATTTTGATAGATTTGATAACGAGACGGGAAACAAAAACGGTTGCTACATTGTTCCCAACATAGTTCATTTTCTGCGGTTTAACAATCCAGTTTTAAAATTTACCGAAGCCGTCTGTTTGCTCGCCGCCTTCAAGAACCAGCGTCCCGAAAAAATTATGGTACACACTAACGTAAACCAAACTGGGAAGTATTGGAAAATCGTGAAATCCTTGCCGGGTCTGAGTGCAGTTCTCATGTTTGTCAAAGTCGACATACCAGAAGAAATATTTGGCCAGAAACTAAACCCTGGATGGAAAGCTTTCCACGCAAGCGATGTGACGAGGATCAGGATATTGATGGAATATGGAGGGATTTTTTTAGACAACGATAGCTACATCGTCAGTAGTCTCAATAAGTTTCGTCGTTTTGAAATGGCTTTGGGCTGGCAACCAGGAAAACTCCTTCAAAACCAGGTAAAATTAACAATTATGTTAATTAAACCTAAGTACATTAATTAATATATGACCAAATATTAGCCTAAAACAAACAATATTCTTTTAATTATTTTAACTAATAATATTAAAAGCTTCAATGTTGCCTGAATTTGTATATTATACTCTGTATTTCTTTTCACTTTTTGTAAGATTATTTTTTAATAAACAATTAAAAATTCACTATTTAAAAAGACATTGAAGATACTTTCTAAAATCTTGTTTTGCTTAAATTCTTACCCATGATAATTTATTAATTTAACTAATTTCGTGGTCCGCTTGACCAATTAAATCATTACAATTAATTAAGGTTTTTAGTTGAGATGAAAAAAAAGTTAATGACACGAGCGGGATTCGAACCCACGATCTTCGGCTAGAGCTATCGTGACCTCGATCAACTCGGACATCAACTTCCCATCTCAACCCCACCTTTTGAATTTTCCCCCCTTTTTGCCATTTTTCAAATGTCGTGTAATCGGTTTGGATTCTCGAAGACAATTGAAATGGCCAAGGAGAGCTTTAGTGAAGTGTACTTCATATTAATTCTTTAAATTCACTAATTT